CCTCTCTGACTCCTCAACACACTTGCCAGGTTTCTCAACCGGCGATGCAGGAAGGCTGGGCTCCGGACGTGGTCGCGCGGGAAGCGCAACATTTTCCTTCCAAGACTTCAGGTATGGAACGTTGTCCTTCACATCGAGATAAACCTTGTTCCCGTTGTGGTCCCTGAAGTAGGGTCTACAATTAGCTCTCCAGATAAAGTCAAACCCTTCCTCCATGCACTTCTGTCCAACCGAGAGAACGGATGGTGAATCGGGTAGAACATATGGTTCGGCGGTCGTATTGATCGAAGGAATCCTAACCTTGCATTGTTTGTCAGCATAGTTAGGTCCGTTGGCGGTAATCATGTTGATAGGCCGATCCGACAAGAAATCCTTTACTTCACCGAGAACGTTTTTCGATATCAAATCCTGAGCACTGCCAGTGTCGGCAATCCATTCCATTTCAATCACAGGATCTGATCGGCTCCCCTTTGCTGGGCATCCGACAGATATGCCGGGCGCAATGCAATGAGCACAACCGAACTCAGTCTTACACATGAACTTACATGCTGGATTCGTACCTTGGTTCATACCTTCAACGGTTGACCTCAGCATTTTAGCTGTCGCCAAAGCATCCCGAACATCCTGCCCATCAGGTTTGGGCTTGTAGTTAACAGGAAATTCTTCACTGAAAACCCTCGGCTCGATTTCAACCTCACGCCACTTGGAAGATTCAGGGGGCGTGGGAATGTAGTGATACTCAGGAGCATTCGAGAATCGCACAGATGCCAGAGCAACGTGAGCGGTGCTTGCACACGAGTCAATGAAGTTCGGCATTTCCTTCCGGAAAGCGTGTGCATCGGCTTGGGATGCCGAACCTGCGACAAGTGCGCCTAAGAGGCAGACGGCGGCCGGAAGCGAAGCCTTAGGTTTCCGCCCCCCCGAGCCCTTGCTGTTCCCAGAGCCTTTGCTCCCCTTGGAGCCTCCACTACCCTTGGAACTTTTAGAGCTGGAGCGAGACTTCTTCCTATGCTTCTTTTCTTTCTTCTGTTTCTTACTCTTCTTTTCGCCGCTAGACTCTCTACCGCTACCAGTGGCAGGAGCAGAAGGCTGGCCTTTGTGTATGAAACGGCACTTGTCACCCTTGTTGCATTTACCATGCTTGAAGAATTTGCACTCAGCATTAATCTTCCCAGGAGATGGGCTCCCCCTTGCGGAGGGCGACTTGCCTCGGCCTTTACCTTTGCTTGGTGTCCTACCACGTGGCTTCTCGGGTATCTGATGCTTATAGGAACATTTTTCTTTGTTGCACGAACCGTTCCGAACAAAGTCAATGCAGAAGCCTTTGGGCACACGCTTTAGCGGTGCGGGTGCCGATGGCATACCTGCTGCGGCCTGCCTTGCAATCCGTTCCCGGTTGCGCTCAAGCCGTTTGATCTTGATGACTCGGTTAACGGCATTGTACAGATATTCATAGGATTTCTCCTGTGTGCCGTCTACTGCCCTTTCATAGATGGCTATGTCGTGCGCCAAAAGCTTGCACTTCTTAACCTGTCTATGAAACAAGGGTTGCAAAACATCGTCAGCAGGTGCTTTCTTCATGCCTGAGAGGACAGTATCCCAGTTACGCACGAATTGCACAAGATTTTCGTTAAGCATGACGACGTTGAGCAGATCCTCCATATCGTACACAGACCCGTGGAGTGCGTTGGTCGACAAATAAGCGTTGAGCTTATGTAGAATCTGTCGGCCACGAACTAAGCGTCCTTCGTGTCCTTCCCTCTCTTTAAAAGTGTCAATCTGGCGAGCAAAATCACCTTCCAGAATGTTTGTGATTGCCGAGAGGATCTTCGCATCAAGCGTTGTGAAACCGTTAGGATCACGAAGGGACTCTTCCGTGGTATCATCCTTCCACACTTCACCGAGCCACTCGAAAGCCTCATCGGGACGGTCAGAGGCGGCGACCACAGCCTCGCGTGCGCGAAGCCTCCAGTTACGATAGTTCTCTGGCTGGGGAAACTTTGGAAACACAATCTTCTCAGCTTCCTTCACCTTGGGCCTTCCCCTTGTCGCCTCGGTTTCCTCGACATCATCCTTGTCTTTCTTCGACTTAACGACTTTCTTGAACATCTTCAGGAGGTCCTTTTTAGATAGGGAGATAGACGACGATGATGATGAATCAGATGAGTCTCTTTTCTTTTTCTTCTTTTTGTCCTTTTTCTTTTTCTTCTTCTTGTCACGGGAATCGTCATCGGGCTCATCCCCGTCGCCGTCGCTTTCGGGAGGCGAGTCATCTCCACCTCCACCTGGCGGGCCACCATCTACTTTACCCAGACCCGGAGGGGTATGAATAGGGTGTTCAATGGGAGACTGATCTCCTACGGCAGTTGGTGAATATGCCGTGGCTTTCGCCAGGCGATCACGAAGCTCGGCATTGGTGCGCTCAAGCTTCGTCATCGATTCAGCCTGTTGGCGATGCACTTGCATGAATGCACCCATCTCAGACTTGAGTTGGCTTAGTTCGCCATTCATGACTGCAACGGTGTCTTGGCTGGCCCGACTTCGATTAGCCAGCTCTCTTTCAGCTTGGGCTACAACGTCGGAGACTGTAACCTCAGCCTGATGAAGCCTGAGCTTGTAGTCAACGGCTTCACGTCGCATCTGTGACAACTCGTCGCTGTGCTTATTAGCCATGCTTTCGCCGGCTGCTCGAAGCATTTCTTCTTTCTGTTGCAGACGACTCTCCGCTTGGGCAAACTCCAACCGAAGTTGGGCAGCACCGGATAGCGCCTGTGCATGAAGCTGGTTGAATTGCTCCCTATGCAAATTGTTTGCTTCGGCCATGATCAATCTGTGGCGTGCTTCAGCTTCAGCTGCAACGGCTGGTCCTGTGTCTACCTGATGCACATGGACTGCTTGTTGCACCGTTGGCGCAAGGACATTTTGTTGATAGTAGTTCGCGACGTTTCTGATCTCGCTGGGTGAATATTGGGCCGCATTATATTGTTGAGGCGATCCCGCCAGGGATGCGAGTTGGTGCGCTGGGCTTGAGACATATGCCCATTCTGACACCGCTCCTGGTGCACCTCTTCGGGGATCTGGTTGGGCCATCACGGCCAAGGCCTCTGCCGTCAGAGGAACAACTTGGCCACCCTCTCGGGTACCGGGGACAGCCGGATCCGTGCCATCGTCTTGGACGGACATGGCAGGAAGAGAACTGAGATCCTCGGTATCGACGCGAGCCGCGGAAATGTCTATCGCGGGAATACCTGCAGGATTTACGGGAGCATCCATCGCGATCTACAAACGAAGTGAGACCTACGGCTGATAACCTATGTTTACAGGCAGAACAGCCAGAATGCAGACACATATTTTCTTGAGCCAATGAACGACAGTAGGTGCAGGTGACTAGCTACATCTTCCACAAAATACAAAATATTGTTTACCTGTCCTACGTATGAGTTTCGTTCTGGGAATGTACACATGCGAGTTTCCGAAAATCAGGGGTACCATATTTTGGGGTCCTTATAATAAGTATCCTGCTATTTAGGTACTATATTAGGGTCCCCTATTTTCGGAAACTCCCACATCGCAAACCCTGGCCTGAGCTCGTGCTCGTAATCAGAACCTTTTGTGGACGGGCTGCAGTGCACATGCCCTTACAGGGAACTCCACAAAGTTGGAATATGGTTTCTTGGTAGGAGACCCTATAATTTACCATAGAAGGGTTAGGATAATCATATTCCAACTTTCTGGCTTTTACCTTACGCCCAGCCTGCTGCACTTCACATCCAGACTTCAGGCACGGCGCTTTACATGTGTCGAGAATAACAAACTCAAAACCCGAGCCTCCAATGTTGCTGCTCGAACATACTGCTGAAGCTTAGAATAGAAGCTGACCCTGAAGCCTTCAACGTTCTAAGGGCTGGCATCCTAGACCTGTGACCAGATGTCCTTGGCGTTTAGGCGTTTAGGATTAGGGGGCTTGTTCCTGGCAGAATTGGGTTGCATTGCATACCTGGCCCTTACTCCCACGAGCTGCATCGACGATCGATTGATACTGGCTTACTGGCGCTTGAGGCAGTTCATTGTCGCAGGACATGAAAACTCTAAGAGAACACTATATAACATTATATAGCGGTTTACCACGGTCCAGTGCATGACTTCGCAAAGACCAGTCGCGACCCGCCACGGTACTGCACGGGTGGAACTCAGATCGACACCCTCTGCCGAAGCTACTGCACATACCGGGTATTTTCGGCCTTCAAGCACTGTTATCACAAGTTCTCGGAGCCGGCCCGGAAGTTGAGCAAGAGGCTTTCGAGAACGGCCTAAGAGCCCTGAAAGTGCTTCGTCCACAGCTGCGGCTCGTGCTCACGCGAAAGCTAGCAAGAAAAGGTGTCGGTTGGACTCTTGCGACCAACATCTCAAGTTCCTGAAAGCCTGATGCCCTGAACCCTAAACCGAACGCTAAAGCCCAAAAAGGCCCCAGGCTCTAAAGCCGCAAACTTGACAGCCTGGTGTCCGACGGTCGCTGAGGCTGTGACCATCCATCTGCATCCTGGGCCTAGGGATTCAGAGGGGGAGATCCCCAGCATTTTGCAGGATCTCGAACGATTCTTGGTTAAGGGTTTAGGGTTTTAGGGTTTAGGGGCTGTTGTGCTTTGTTCCAAGGAAGCTCGGCTGGCCGTCAGAGGAGCTCGCGGCTTCTGGTCGAAGCGCTTGAGGCAACATCCAATCAAAGTTTCTTAGCAAGAACCCTGACAGCTCACCCCTCGAGACCAACAACCTAGCACAATAGAACTGATCATTCAAAAGCTCTGTTTTTTCCGGTCTATGTCTCCTCCCAGCTCTGTTGGCTGAGGTCATCGTGTTCTTTGGCAAACCCTACAAGATCCACTAGATGGAGTTGCATCACCACCCGCGTGAGCCCGCTTAATTAGAGGCCACCAAAACTGCTTCTGAACACGTCTGTAGCCCGGCTCTTGTCGTTACCACTTCTGAAGAGCAACGGCGGGAGCTTAGCGGTACATATGCGACGCCGGAACGCAAGCCTTGCCATCAGAGCAGAAGCCGGGGTGGCAGTAGCAGAAGTAGTCCTTAGTGTTGCAGGTCGTGGGCCCACGCGACTTGGCGCAGCTGAAGACCATGCAGGAAGAGCCTTCGATCTTGTTCAAGCAGCTTCCGAATCCGGGGGCTCCATAGGGGCTGCCACCGTAAGGGTTGAACCCGGGAGGCATCTGCCCGTAGGGGCTGCCGTACTGATGATTCCAGTAAGGGTTGTAGGCTGCAGTCGGAGGAGGTGGCGATGGGCCCCACTTCTCGGTGTCCGAAACCGTCTGAGCTTTCTGGCCCGAGCTAACCTGCGCTTCAGCCGCCACATCCCCTGCGCCCTCCTCCACAGCTGCAGCGAACTTCTCCACGGAGTCTTCTGCCTGCTGCTGGGCAACCACTGCCTTCTTCTGCACAGCGTTCAGGGCACATTCCTGGCCCACGGCACACTCAGCATCCGCAGCCAAGATGTTGTCCATGTCCATCACGTCTGTCGACATGGCACAGGCGAATGCTGTCACAGACAAAGCGACAGCCAATGACTTCACCATGGCGATCAAAATAAAACCTGAACGCTGCTGAGGACAGAGGCGGAGTAGAGCCAGGAACAAAATGCTTGAGCCAAAATTTCCGGACTGAGCCTGAACCCCCGTATCAGGATACTTCATGGAGCGATATTGGAGTGTGTGGACAGTGAACACCGCTGGTGTAGCTGTTGGTGGTACTGGCGCCACTGTGCCTTTGAAATCGCATGGCTCGGCAAAGCGGACACCTGGCCTGCTGCACCGGTTCGTTGAACCTCGCGAAGCTCCTGAAGTGCCCCTGCTGCGCCTGCGCCGTGGTGGCGGTTCTTATCGAATGGCAAGAAATGCCTGGCCTATCATTCAAAAGGCCAAACTCGCAATTAATGATATGTGCAGAGGTGGCAAGATGGCACTTTCAAGATATCACGCGCGCCTGCTGAATGGCCTTCTGCTCTGCAGCCTCCTCTTCTTGCCTTCTTCTCTCTGCCAGTAGGGCCTGAGCGGAGCTGAAGCTTCGGCGGTTCCACTCGCACCTTAAACAGATTTATAGTTCTCTTCCAGTTTCTTTCGGCAACATAAAATTCATCCAAGAGGCCTCCGCCTCTGCCTCCTCCTCCGCCCTTTTCCGAGCCTCCTCCTGTCGTCGTTCCTCTTCCTCCTTCCTTTCCAGCTCCTCCCACATTTTTGCCTCCTCCTCCTGCCGTATCCGCTCCTGCCACAGCAAAATTAGAGCAGATAGTGCCGGATGCTTTTTATCCAAGAGCTGAAAAGAGCTCAATGCCATTCCACCCTCAACACCCTATCTAGAATAGGGCTTTGGGCCAGTTACACTATATGGATAATAAGGAACCCCCAAAATAGCGTAGGTAATCATGTAGGCCCCTATCCTAAACCCTAAACCCTATAGATCTCTTACCTTTAAAGGCCCCCCTATATTGCGTGCTACGATGTTCGAGCCGTCGTCAGGAAGAGCTGCATCGGTGCCTGGATCCCACAGCTCGAAACTAGATCAAAGGGGAAGAGGAGGGACCCTTAGTGGGGACCCCTCTCCTATAATGGGCTATATAAGGGGTATATAATGGCTATGTTAAGGGTCCTTATTAAGGGTCCCTCCTTTTACCCTTGGACTATGCTTTTGGGGCCTTCATAGAATAGGGTTTCAGCACTCACATTCGGACAAACCTTGGCGAGGATTCCAGTCCCTGGTATCGCACTTTGGCGGCCCCGTGCGCATTAGCTCAGGGAGAACATTAGCTGCAGGGTTTTTTTAGGTTACAAGGGCCTTAATGATCAGAACAGGATTCCTTTAAGAGGGTTTATAAGGGTCACTAGAAGGGAAATAGAAGCGTACTCTAATGTGGGGGCAGGGAGTCTATATGGGTTACTATCAGGCATCTACAAGGGTACTATAATACAGGGTTACTATAAGGGGGTATAATGTGGCATAATATAGGGCCTTAATAATTGGATTAGGGTTTGGGGGTTCGATATACTATAATTGGAATAAGGAACCCCCAAAAACCTGTTCTAATTGTTAAGCCCCCCTATACTATATCATCTATCATCCTGAAACATCCAGAGCCAATTCCGACTGTCAACATGGAGGCCTACATGATGAGGAAGAGACTTACGGTGAAATCTTGAAGCACCCCCTGAAGCATGCTGGGGAGTGTGCAGAGCTCAGTTAGCAAGGGCGGCATTTGGTGTGTAGGATTTGTCGAAGTTACTGGCGAAGGATGCTTTAAGAAACCGGCTCTTGCGAACATTGCATGCACACTGGATTGCAAACTGCGAGGATAAGTGCAGGACGAACTTGACAATTCAATTCTTGGGGTGGGCACCCTTATATCAAACAATCGCAGCACATGTCTTGAAGCCCTTCGCAACCCTAAACCCACTTTTCAGGAAGGGCTGCAGAAAACCCCAACCCTATCACACCAAAAACCCTAAATCCTCAAAACCCCAGACCACGACATGCACTGACAGAAACACATCAGCGGCTCATCCTCCTCTGCTGCCTTCCGCTGTCGCTCCTGTTCTTCCCGTTCCCCTGGCGTGGAGTGTCCGAGAAGGATGGGCTTGGGGTTGAGGGGTGAGTGTGGTCTAGTTGTGTTTGTAGCTTAAAGTCTCCTGGATAGTTGTAAGTCGTTGAAAAAAGTAACGCGGCTATGGCTACAATGATATGAGCTTCTTGGACAAACCCCTAAACCCTAAACCCCCAAACCCTTTTTGAACGCGGTCTCTCTGAAGTCAAACCCTGAACCCTAAACCGTGGTTTGCCGGTCTGTCGTCATCTGTTTGTATCCTCGACCCTGCACGCTAAACCTCGTTTCTTTCGGCTTCTGAATAGCTGAGTAAGTAACCTAGAATCCCCTGGGCCCCCTCAACTCCTCGAGTTTTGGATTTTGGGGAGCAACTTAGTAGTTGAGTAAGTAACCTTTAACCTTTTGGGGTTGATATAACCCTACCATAATTGAAAAGGTTGGCCGTTTTTTTGGCTAGGGTCCTCAGCCCGTAGGGCTTAGTGGCTCCACACGGGGCGACCCCAAAACACCCGGCAACCCTGCCCGACCGAGCCATGTGCAAGGGTTTACGGATCGTGAGGTTTAGGGATCCTTGGGTTTAGAGATCTTAAGGTTTAAAATTCCAGGGTTTAGGGATCTTCGGGTTTAGGGATCCTAGGGTTTAGGGATCTTAAGGTTGAGGGATCCTAGGGTTTAGGGATCTTAAGGTTTAGGGATCCTAGGGTTTAGGGATCTTAAGGTTGAGGGATCCTAGGGTTTAGGGATCTCAGGGCGGTTTAGGGCTCCCAGGGATTAGGGATCTTAGGGTTTAGGGTACGAACAAGTTCAGGTAATGAAATCATCCGTGCTGCAGTTGGGGCCGTAGTAACTTGCCATACATAACCGGGCCTATCTTTCTGTTTGGCGCAGTCAACTAGGGGGTTTACGGTTTAGGGTTTACCTGTGCCTGTCCGGAGACTTCGAGGGAGAATTCAACAACCCTACGTAGCCCCAAGCTCTCTCAACCGGAACCCGGAGAACTCACATAATGTAGGGGCCTTACTACCTGGACCAGGGTTTTGTGTCTATTCGTGTATATCTTACTTGGAGGGTCGGGGGACTTAGTAAGTAGGTAGTAAGTGGATTTATAAGTACCCTAAAAGGGACCCTAATTGGGGTTATGGTACTTATAAGTCCCTAAAATAACCAGTGATTAGGCGCCATGAAGGCGCTCTGCTAGCAATGTCCACGGTCCGTCCGTTCGGGCTGTGGGATCTATGACGATGTAGGGGTTAGGGTTTAGGGGTTAGGGTTTAGGGGTTAGATGATCTACAGAAGTCACAGTGATACTCGTTCTCAGAGGCTCCAATAGCTCTGGAAAAAAAGGAACATACCGGAAATCATAATAGGGATCCTACTATAATTTGAGGTATGTTCCTTAATTAAGGGATATTTGAGCCTCTGAGTTATTGAGCTCTCACAGTTTGGTGCCTCGGCATTGCAGGTTCAACCCCCCCGGCCGTCAGTCAGGGATCTATTTCTGAGAAGCCCACCCCATGCAAAGCCTCATGGGATGGCTTGCTAAGGCATATGGGAGTTTCTGAAAATAAGGGACCCTGATCTAATATCTAAATGGTAGGATCCTTATTACAAGGACCCCAAAATAAGGTACCACTAATTTTCGGAAAGTCCCAAACCCTAAACCCTATGGATCCCTTCAAAGGTCACCCCCTATTTGGAAATTTCCTTTTGCGCTCCGGAGCTTCGCAGCCCTATCAAACCCCTTTAGCACACGGTTCAAGGCAGTTTAAGGCTTACATACCTGGACCCTAAGGAACCTACCTTTTTTAGGGCCCCCTACTTTGGCTTCTTGATATAAGTCCCTAAAAAGGTAGGTTATTTGGGGTTAAGGTGGGGTTTCGGGACGGTTTAGGGTTTAGTAGCCTATAACCCCAGCTACGATCCCCAGTTACCTCGAAAGGACAACGGCTCCTTTTGGCATTGGCTAGTTTTGTTGAGGGACCGAAGACCACACAAAGGGAACTTCGTAAAACCCGTATAGCCGAGAAAGGAGGTGAACCCCTATACTCCAAACCCCCAAACCTTAAACAACTTTATGCTTTTCTGCATCAGGATTTGCACAATCGCCTGAAATTCGACTGCCACACTCCTAAGCCCTAACACCCTGAATCCCTGCAAACCCACCCTTTGCTTTTGAACCCAGGCTCTGATCCTGAAGAAAGGAAACTGAGGTCCAGGCACAGGATCCCCTGAAGCCCTAAACCCACCGAAAAATCCTGGCCCAAGGGGCTCGTGGCTTCCTCCTCAGCCTGCGCGAGCTCGCCCGAAAACCTCCGAAGTCTGGAAGCTCTCAGATGTTTGTTATAAAGAGGGGCTCTATGTGCGGGTTTGATATGCATTTGATTGTAATGGGCTGGTTTCTTTAGGGTTACGATTGTGTTAAGTGGCTCCTTTTACGAATGCTGTGGTTTCGTTGGGTGTCCATCTGGCTTTTATGAGGGTGTTCAACATGTTCAAGAATGGGGTTGAACGACTCCGTCTAGCTTTGCACGGTTTCACAAAGGTTGGGCTCCACCACAGTGAATATCGTGGAGTCTGCTTTGTGCTCTTGCTCTTCGACTTGCTGATGCTTCGGAACACAGTGCCTTACCCCCAGGCCCTTGTGCCTGCGTAGAACCCCAAACAGCCATGGACCAGCACGAGGACAAAGACGACTCGGACCATGGGGACCACCCCACCAGGGGCAGAATGCTTTAGCCCATATACTGCCGGAGTTAAGAGACATGGGAGTTTCCGAAAATTAGGGGCACCTTGTTTTGGTGTCCTTATAATAAGGCTCCTACTATTTAGGGTACTGTATTAGGGTCCCCTATTTTCGGAAACTCCCACATGCACATGTCTGGGCCGAAGTGAGGCCAGTGTATTTGGACATGCAACGAATCGGGCTTTCCGGAAGACGCGGCTGTACCGATCGTGTGCAAGGAGTGGGACATGAGCGCAAACGAAGCGGAATATTCCGCCTGCGCCTTGCACGCACACTGGCCAATTCTCGGTATTGCTAACATAAGAACCCGATAGTGAGGAAAGCCCAAAAATCTCTGTCTTCACAATGAGAAATATAGGGTCCTTCACAATTCGAACAGGGTTCTCAGGTTTGTTATAGTATAACAAAAAGGTATAGGGGCTATTCGAAGGCCTGCCGCTTGGAAAAAGAGGCAGGTGAAGAAGGGAGACGTCACCGCCGTCCTACAGTCCAGGGCCTACCCTCTACTGCGTGCCCTGTCCCGACATATGCGAGGCACTTGGAATTCCACCTGGCAGTGTGACCCGAATCCAGGAAGCCTGCTACGGCTTAGTCGATGCTCCACTGCCGTGGTCCCGATCAGTCGACATGTTTCTCCGACAGCTTGGTTTTGAGAGGCTGGTCAGATTCGTGCTGCTGGGTGCTCCGAGAAAAATGGGGCGCAACGGGGAGTGATTAGTGGCCATGTCGATGATTTTCTGTTCGGAGGCAAACCTGGGGATGGACTCTGGGAGTCCCAGTTGCGGGCCATGAAAGATCATTTCAAATGGGGGGAATGGGAACAAGGGAAGCTCACTCAGTGCGGGGTCATTTTCGAACAAACCGAAGGCGGGTTTGAGTTGTCCCAACCTAACTAGCTCGAGAACCTCAGTGAGATAGGAGTGAACTCGTCTAGGAGAAAGAACCTGCAAGATCCCGCGAGCGAGATACATGAAACTGCAAGCAATTCAAATATGTAGATCACGTAAAACGCGGCATCTCTCTGCCAATCCCCTACCCTGAAGAGCAACTTGATTGCCCAACGCCTCATGTAGTTCTCGTCGACGAGTCTCTGCTGCGCATCAAGAGCTGCCTGTCGAGAATGGGGTACGCGATATTCTCGTATAAGATTGACCTGATGTTCCTCTATGAACTCGTTTTCATGGACTGAAAGCTGCAAATTTGCAATCCAAGCCCCTAAAACCTTTAGGGTTTTAGCTTCAGGCCTTCTGAGACTCAATCCAGGCGAGGCATGGTAGGTACCCACCCCCAGATGACAAAGTCGCACCACCGGGCAGGTTTGGGGTTGTCTAGGCTGCCTGCAAGACAAGTATCCCAAGAGTAGGGCACTGGAAGTTTAGGTGTGAGTGGGTTCATGATTTGGGTTTTTAGTCAAGCTTTTCCTGTCCTTGCGACAGCATAAACGAAGCAATAAACGAAACCCTCGCTGCAAGACCCTTAACCTGAAAACCTCACATCCTGAAACCAGTATAAACCCTTTAAGCTTTACTACGGAACTACCGAACCAAATATATCCGCTGTACAAGCGCCAAATCCCCGACCCTATTACACCCTGAAGTCGCCGGGCCAAAACCCTGAAGCCCTAAACCCTAAAACACTTCAAGCCCTAAACCTTCAAAGCGGCTCCTTCTGATCTTGTCGCTGCTGGATCTGCCGCTTCTTCTCCTGCAACATGGGGGGCGGTGGGGGGGGTTGCTTGAGGTGATGGATAGGGTGATGGTGCAATCAGGGTTACTATAGCCTGTCAAAACAAGTCCAAGCACCGCTGAGAAGTACTACAAGTACTGTTCTAAGAGCTACTTACCGCAAGGTACTCGGAAGGGTTCTGAAAACGGGCTAGTCTTTTTTAAGGGTTGATCATTTGAGCCGGGGGTCTTTGGGCTCGAAAGGTACCATATAAGGCCCCTAACTAGTGGGAAAGGATAAAAATTGTACATGTTTATTCCTTTTGGGTTTAAGTTCCCGTAAAAATGTAAAATGTTACCCAACTATGACAAAGAGTTTAGGGTTTGGAGCTACGGTTAAGGCTTCAGGGGGACAAGCCGGCTAAGCAACGAGCTTGGACAGCCCCATCAAAGTCAAATCAACAGCCTACTCGCTTCACGCCTAAAGCGCCTAAATGCCTCAAAAGTTGTACCTCGAGAACGACAACGTACAACGAAACTCAGCAATGAAGCGAGAGAGAGAAAGAGATAGTGTGGAGAAAGACAAATTGATTCTGCACGACCTTCGAAATTTTAGTCGGAACCCTCCGTTCTGTCGATGCCCACACTCCAAAGAAGACAAAGGCTACTTACCTACGCTACACACCCCTGAACCCCAAAACCCTTCCGAGCCTCGATGTCGGCCATGAAAGGCTGGCAATCGATGGCCAGCGCAGCCTCTGCGCCCTGGCAGGGACGGAAAAGGATTCAAAGGCCATGAGGGGTTATGAAGCTTACTATTATGACTCCTACCTAGCAAGGACAAGGCCCGCATTGCAGGGAATCTTGGTTGAACTGGGTTTAGGGTTTATTGTTGCACGGGGCTGTGCAGCTTAGTATAAGGGGTCATGAAGCTTACTGTAAGGGGGGGAAATTGTGAGGGATACTATGAGGGGCTCGAATGGCTGCTATAAGGGGACATGAAGGCTCCTGTCAGGGTCGCTATCGGGGTTCTAAGCTTCAAGCTTTAGAGTTTACGGCTGGTTTGCCTCCTGCATTGCACGAATACACGAATACTTAAAGGACCATGGGACGTGGTAACTGGGGTTAAAAATAAGGTAACCATGCTTATAATTACTTGTAGCGCCACTGATGGTACATATAACGTTACTTGCTAAGTCCGATGATCCTCCAAGTAGACCCTTTTGCAACTGGCAAGTAAACCCTAAACCCTAAACCCTTTAGATCCCTTTAAGGCGCCCCTTAAAAAGCCTCACTTGCTAAGTCCGATGATCCTCCAAGTGGGTAGTTGTCACAATTGGGGTCCGTTTTTGGGGTACCCTTAATTAATAGTAGGTGCCGTATTATATTAGGGACCCAATGAAGGACCATCATTCTGACAGCTACCCAAGTAGATCCCCCTGGCCTGGCTTCATAGAGTTTAGGGTTTTTGCCTCCGTCAGCTCTCTGAAGCCATGCCCCGCGGACGTGGTCCATGCAATGCGGAAATGTGATATTTGGGCCTTAACAGTTATTAGAATAGGGTTTTGGGACCCATTGCCACAACAGACTGTTGCTGAGGCAACATGCTCACAGCTTCGTGCTAGACTCGGGCCCGTGCTAGTTAGTCGGTTTAGGGTTTACGGTGCTACTGCAAATGCAGCGAGCAGAACTTGTCATCACAAGCTCTTGCACGCAAGTCCTACTGTTAACTGCCTTCACCTACAGGGACGACACACCCTAAACCCTAAACCCCTAAACCCCAAAACCCTAAACCCTAAACCGCCAGCAGGACGGCTTCGGCAGCTCCCGGCGCATGGCCGGAACTGGTAATCCTCGGGGCTAAATATAGGGCCTTGATAGGGCCTGAATGCATAGAATATAGGGGTTGCAATAAGGGATCTATAAGGGTACTGTAATATAGGGGCCTTAATGATTACACAAGGGTTTTGGGACTCATTATACTACAACTATAATAAGGAACCCCCAAAATATATAGTACTGGTAGTTATGAAGGCCCCTATATTACGTTGTTCTCGGTCTTAGAGTTTGGGTTTCGGGTTTATCACTAGGATGGAGGGTGTGGGGTTGAGGTCTAGGGATTTGAGGTTTCGACTTAAGACTTAGGGTTGAGTCTAGGATTGGGGGTTTCGGGTTTAAGGCTGCGCGACAAATGCAAAGCTAAGGATCCTTGTGACAAAAAGGGGTGCCTTATCCACGAGTAGTGATCCTGACCAGGATCCGGATATAACGAGGACCAGTTGTTGGAGTCGAGAGGTTCAAGGAACATGCCTAACCAAGCACAACACTGGGTTGTTCGTCTAGACTAAGGGTTCGTTTCCAAAGGCTCAATTTCAGCTCCTGGCAACACAACTGAACTAACCCCAGACCTGCTAGGCCTAATGTAAGGGCCTCAGTACGTAATTTTTCCCACCCGCCCAGCTGACAGTACGTAATTAGAATAAAAAATTGGTTTCATGACACTGAGTAACCTTCAGGAATACAGAATGAATAGTACACCCTGAGCGAGAGTCGTACACCGCATGGTTTTCCGTGGATTGGATTGCTGCTTTTCAATTCTTTCAGTAGCTTCAGTGTTTTATTTTTGTATCAGAATAAGGAAGGAATAAAGTTTGTAATTAGCTAGGCTCCTGTATCCCCTGCACTCTTAAAAGAGATAGGACATCACAAGCCTTCGATGGCTTTCTGCCATGCTTGTGACTTCTGGCTTGATGTTGCAGATGCACAGGATCTTTAGACTAAGGGGCTGAGTACCCAAGCCCCAAAAAGGTTAACCTTTTCAATTATGGTATGGTTATATTAAATATATATATATATATAATATTTAATATATAATGTAGTATATATATAACATATATATATATGTATATATATTAGTATATTGGATAAACCCCCAAAGGGTTAAAGGTTACCAACTCAGCTACTAAGACAGGATCCTTTGAACTTTAGGCGGTCGGCAGGAGGGAGTCGTCTACTCGCTACAGCGGGCTGCCTTTGAAAGCTTTCAAGCTATTAGAGCTTATACACCTAAACACACCACCTTCGCGCTTCGCAGAGTCAAAGTTGCAGCTTGAGCAACTGAAGCGTTGCAGACCAGCCGAATTTACAACCCAGATCTTCGGTGTCCACTTACCTCTGGTTAGTAGGGAATGTAAGAATGGTAGTACTAGTAGTTGTAATTGTACCCCGTTCCTCCATTCCCTACTAACCAAAGGTAAGTCCAGCGGGCTTCCAGGTTTACCGACGTATGAGACCTCCGCAGCAGCGGCAGGCGAGCCAAAAGCAGGCCCTCCCAGCACGTACCGAGTTTTGAAATTGATTTCTGTTCTCGAAAATAAAAAACTCGAAACTCGTGCTTTGCGGAATCCAATCCGCACCTACGAACTCGCTAGACCGATCCGGATAGTTTTCTAAATTAGGGTCTTTTCCTAGCTCCCCGAGCTAAGACGGCACCCTGATGAAAAGGACTTGAAAAGGACTCTGAAAGGGAGAAGCCGGAATCACCAAAAACCCAAAGGGCTCCCCCGAGAACCGGGTGTGCGGCATGGGGGGTGGAGACGGCTGCCCAGCCTCCTGGGTCAGTGTGTTGGGCCCCAAAGCCTACGCTTTCGGTATTATAATAGGGCCTTAAGAATTAGAATATTTGGGGCATATTATACTGTAATTAGAATAAGGAAGCGACAAACTTTTGATGTTTCTGTAGCTATAGTCGGGCTCGGGGGTACAGGGCCTGGCAATTGTTGTGTGCAATTGGTGCTTTACACAGCGCTGCAGGCTGGTTCCCGAAGCCAGTGAAGATCCTCAGGTCAGCCATATGCTGCAGCAAATATGCGCTGAAATATTCCATCATGGACATATACAACAATGCACCATATACAAGCTACTGTAACATAATGCAATGGAGCAAGACATATAGTAAAATGTAAGAGTGCATATGTATACTATACTAGTGTATCACCACAAGCACTGATATAAAAGATGCTGTAAACCCTTGCAGCATAAGACAACAAACCTGAAATAAAGCAACCTTTTAACTGATACAAGCCTAGAAGACACAGCTACATGTAGAATAACACTCAAAACATGTAAACAAAACAACAGGCAAGCATGTGCTAACGACTAGCTACTTATACAAATGCTTGTATATACACATGCCATATATATATATACATACATACATACACGCATGCCATGTATGTTCAGATTCAAGCCATTTGTACAAAAAAGAATGAATGTGGGTCCGCGTAGAAACTGTTGGATACTGAGAGATACTGGTAGGTACCAGCATAGTCAGTCTTCATACGTACTTTCCAAAAATCTGCTGACATAACACAACATAACGCAGGCCGTTTAGAACATGTGAGAAATGTCTAAGAACTTCAGATAAAAGTCACTGCAATATCAAATGAAACAGCGTAACGTAAAACCACGCTCACCAGATTACAAATTACACAATAACGCAACAAATCATGGTATGCTATATGTTATGACATGGTATACATACGTGAAACTAACACACCAACCATAATGACAAAACATAGTGCAGTAAACCATGACACAACATCAACAATTTCAAACCCAACTGACATTGAATGTCACAAAAAACATCGCCATGAACTCATGTCATGTGCATATCAACCTTCGATTCCTCTCGGCTCCGGAGCCCTCTGCTTCCTAGTCAAGGTGTCGGCGCTCAGACTCGGACCTATGTGAGGGTTTGGGGCATAAACTCTGGGGCATAAACTCACGCTTCGTTGTCACACTGGAGCAGGAGCACTTCCCAGAGAGCCCAATACCCCTTAATTAAGGAATATAGCTTAAAACATAATATGAATCCCCTTATAATTTAAGATATATTCCTTAATTAAGGGGTATTGGGCTCTCTGGGTTGGAGGCAAGCTTGAGGCCAAACCGAAGGTGGGGACTGTTGCGAATCAGGCGTGGGCTTGAAGCCAAGCAAATGTCGGACATGGTTTCCTAAAGAGTTCGGAAGCGTTTGGCAGGGTCTTAAGGCCCAGGTCGTGGACAAATTTAGACTCTAAATTTAGGCGCATGGACATGTCGGTTGAAGCCATAGGCGCTCAGCTGGTACACCCTGCTCAGCTGACCTTGCCCTGCAGCTATGCCCCAAACCAGAGCCATAAACTCCAAAAGCACCAAAATTTTCCAGCTCTAATCTCCCAACCCTGAACCCCCATTACATCTTGCGAGGTTTAGGGGACTTAAACCGAAGCTGGGTTATTGTCGAGCCATGAATTGCATAGTTTTTCGGATTTATCATGTACTACATTTTCTGTGCTGCTTACATGTGCACCGCGCACTAAGTGTATAGTCTATGCAGGCATGACAACGACTTATATATCAGTTACAAAGCTAAGCGGCCCGACTGTGCATCAGGGATGGTAGGATGCTATCTATGGAGACCCATACATCTAAAACCTACGCATACATAAATTTTCGCAGTCTAGCAGTAGTATGTACATACATACACACATACATACATACATACATGCGTGCATCTATGCATCCGTGCGTGCATGCACACAGCAACCAGCACACTATACTAACTCTTGCCTCCATGTGGGCCATCTCTGCGGCCCTCTGGCCTGTTGAGCTTGAGAAAAAGTTCATGGTTGGGATAGGATTACAATGTACGTTTTTTATTCCTTACTGGGTTTAAGTACCCATAAGAATGACAAATGTTACCTAACTATGACGAAGAGAACATGTAGGCTTGCTGCTGCAGTTTCATGTTGTGCGCACACGACTTCTGGACCTCGAATTTAAAACATACTGAAATGGCTCAGGCTGTTGTTGCTACCGTTTCGTTGTTCATAGCAGGAGAAACCGTCTCTGTCGTACACGATAATAGACACTCAACGCTTTTTTTGTGGTTTCAGCTTCGGGCCAGGACTCTTGGCCAATGGTGTCGGAAGAAGAGATTGAAGGGAATACTGTTGATGATATAAACCCTGCATTACCCATAATAAGGAATATTCCATACTTCCCATAGTCTAGGGTCATTAAGGTAATGCAGGATTTATATCATCAACAGTAGGACTGGCTGGCACGCTGGTTCTGGATTTGATGAGGGTCAGCTACCCTAAACCCTATGGGAGTTTCCGAAAAATAGGGGACCCTAATATAGTACCCTAAAATAGTAGGATCCTTATTATAAGGACCCCAAATAAGGTACCCCTAGTTTTCGGAAACTCTCCTATCGACCCAAAGGATATGGCGAGGCCCATCTTGAAGATGGACCGGCTCAACCCGAAAGCTCACACACAAACCCAACCCGAAGCTCTTGGGGTTAGGGTTTCGGGCTCGGAACGTCCGACCCCAAAGCATGACATTCTAAAGTACGCTTCGGGCGGCACCTGGCTGCATGTACTGGTACTGGGCATGCTCGCCGAAGTCGCCACCCTGCGAAGGGTCAGTCTTGTCAACCCCAAACCCTTTGCTGCAGGCTTGCTGGGACGCCTCCCTAAACCCCTAAACCCTGAACTTAAATTTCGAAACCTAAACTCGAAGCTTTCATAGAGTTCCTGCATGTTCCTATGGGGCACCCGGTAAACGGTTACGGTCGGTTACGGTTCGCAGGCCACCGACGCCTCAATGCTGAAAAGCTAGCGCTGTTGAGACGTGTGTGTTGCATGTGTTGCTAGACTCTGCCTAAGCAAACCCTAAACCTCGAACTCTGTTTTTGTCTCGCTGCAATGCTTCGGAATCAGATTCTGCATCCAGGGCAGGGCTCCGGAATGCAAGTCGGGAGCCGTGACACAAGAGCCTTTCCGGTTGCGGTTGCGCCGCATTTGCGAGTGGTTCCATTGGGAGTTTCCCAAAAATAGGGGACCCTAATATGGTACCCTAAATAGTAGGATCCTTATTATAAGGACCCAAAATAAGGTACCCCCTATTTTCCGAAACTCCCAGTAGTCTGCTACAGGAGGCTGGAGTCTCTTGGGGCTGTGGGTTTTAGACAGGAGCGCAAGCCTCTGTTTGAAAGGGCAAAGGAATCTCATGGTGTGCACCCGGCTTCCGACACACATTCCAAAGCACTAGGCCCCAGAAGAGGCGTCTCTATCGCACAGGGAGCTCATAACACACAGGCGCTCCAGGCAGGCTCCAGTTTAGATTGCATGTCCACGGTCCTTGAGATAGCATTGAAAAACAGGTCTCACCCATGGCGAACCGAATGTGTGCTGGCCTGCATGCATGAAAGAGGATGACCGAACCCTTAAAGGGAACTCCAGAAAGTTGGAATATGGATTAATGGTAGGATCCCCTATAATTTACCTTAAAGGGGTTACGATAATGATATTCCAACTTTCTGGCTTCTACCGTAGGTATTGCAGAATCTAGGCTGCCAAAGCGAGACAACCGAAGCCGAATCTTGCTCAAAGGTGTTGCGCAGCATCCCAGTACCACTGGGTCCAAGGGGGAAGTGAAATAACGAATATGAAAAGCTACTGGAGTACACACGGGCGGATGGTTGGGTAAAGGGAGGCTCTTCATGCGACGTGACACCCTAAACTCTTGACCCCTTTTTGCATCCGGGCTTGGGAAGTCGGCCGGGGAAAGTACTCTTAACCCTACAACCGTAACGTTCCAGCAACTTGCACCTGCCACGCTGGCATTCTCAAAATACTTCATGGCAGCTTGAGGCTACCCTCTGGCTACTGCGATTTGAGCACCGGCCGCAATTGCAGATCGATACGCCGCGCGGAACACCGTCCAATCTTCACAGATAGAAAGGGTCTTTGTGGGGATATAAACCAAATAATTACTCTACCTTTATGAATCATCATCGGCAACTATGAGCACCAGTACTCATAGCTCAAAAGCCTTCATATCATCCTGCTGTGCATTGCGGTGCCACATTACCATGTTGAGTCTCGAAGCAGTACTTTTTGGAGGCTCTTTGCGGTTCCAGTGAATCCCCCACTCGAAGCTT